TGAATGACGCTAATAAAAAAAATAAACCCTAAGTCGGTAATTTGATTCACTGCCACTAAAATCCCGTCCGTATGATCAACGTGGTTTTATTTAAAATCGGATAAATATACATTATGCTCTAACTCCAAAGTTTAGAAGAAAAGGTGGTGTAATTTCTCGCCTGTCCCATCATGGGGGGCCCGGCCTGGTTGGACCCCTCGGTCCCTCCTCCCCCACCCCACTGGTGGACCCCATCATGACTCAAAGAATAGCGGGGTTGCCGGTGAGGCGAAACTTCGGTCTGCACAATTGAAATCATGACAATATTGCGTGGACTGAGGAGAATGATGATGTGAAGAAGACTTAAGAGTTGACAGGTTCCAATAGAATCAGAGGGGAAAGAAGACGAAGAAGGATGAGGAGAAAAAGAAAGAAAAGAGGAAGAAGAAGACATAGATGACGAAGGAGGATATGAAGATGAAGAACATGAAGAGGAAGAGGAGGATAAAAAAGAGGGAAACAAATGATGAAGAGAAAAAGAGGAAAGTATGAAGAAGAGAAAGAGGAACGTGAAGAAAAGGGAAAAGAGAAGGAAGAAAAACAAGATGGAGAGGAAGAACAAACAGAGGAACAAGAATGAGAGGAAACAGGACAAGAATAGAAAGTTAATGAAGAGGAGAAAGCAGAAGAGGGAGAGGGGACGAAAGAAACTATATTTTTCTACTCCTGAGATCTTTTTTCTTCTTTTTGTTTTGTTCTCCTTCCTTTTATACATTCTTCTTCCTCTTCTCTTTCTTCATCATCACCATCATCTTCATCAGCGTCTTCTATTTTCTCTTGTCAATATCCTGTAGCAAGCACTGTTTCTGAAAGACTCAAATCTGTCCAACGAGGGTTGAGACGCTTAAGTTGAAAAATCCTTAGGTTAGGGTAAGTCACCGAGAGTTTGGACTTACGAAAGTTTGGTGCTTGCTCATACGCTAAGCGTTCTTGAGTGAAGGTCAGAAATAGCAGGCAACAAAGTTTTAATTAAATTGGACCTTGACAGTCCTGATTTTTCGCAGTTTTACTTTATCGCTGGAACAAAATGTAAATCTTCCAGTTTTCTGCAACTTGGTTATTCCTCAGGTGTAATACTCACTATCATCAAAATGCGAGTCTTTTTGCACCGATTTGAAAACAGGCCCAAAAAAAGGATGTTTCTGGAGGATGCGCGCTAAAATTAAAGATTACGAGACTATTTCAGTTTCCTTACAAAATTTTGGAAGATTCCAGCGTTGGAATACAAGACGCTAGGCCCCTCAGAGGGGCTCAGTAAAGTATCGACAAGATAATTTTATAAAATAATCGTATAACAGTCTGTACAAACTGATGATTTTCATTTTTTGGGAATTTTCAAGTAGAAACATCATCGAAGACGTTCTAAGTGGCAACTCTGCTGAAAAGACCTGTGTGCCCCTCTCCCTTGTTGAACAGTAAGCCCACCTATGGCACCCTCGGGCCCGCATGAGGAATTTATGAATTAATTCATTGCTACGTAACGAAACACAAAAGCGGATCAAGTGTTAAGGCAGTCAGCGGGGGTGCTCGTTAATAAGTCAATTTTTCCCGGCTCTCTTTCTTCTTCTTCAGCCTCAAATTGAACAAATTACGAAGAATCCTGTCTGTTAATATAGAATAAATCCCCACAGCGCAGAGAGCGGCGTCAACGGGTCATATCCTGTGTTGTGTGCGCATGCGCTGCGGTCCCATCTCTGGGAAATCCAAGATTAAAGGAAACATTCCACTTTGGTTGAGTTATAGCATTTTGAAAGAACTTAATTTCTTCGTTTCCCTCGCGAAAGAACGTAACTGCACTTCAGTGTTGTCAAATTTCTCCTCATTAATTGCGTTTTCACCAAGACAATTTTGGGCATTTCTGAATGAAAACTTCACAGATTTTCCTTCTGATCTTATGCATAAATCAGAAAAATTTTCAACGAAAATTGCTCAAGTATATTCTTGTAAAAAATTGAATTCCTTGAATAAATTTTGCAGCCTTGGAATGAAGTTCCGTTCCTTCGTCCGGGTAACGACAATATTGGACTGCATTTTGCAATTTGGAACTGTAAATTTTGGCTCTTCTGGAAAAAACACGTATGTGCATAAGGAAACTAATGGCACATACGTTGTTTTTAAACCGGGCTGGAATTCATAGTTCCAAATTGCAAAATGTAGTCCAATTTGAACAGGGGTCATCATTCTACCCGCGTAAAAATCGAAAGAATTGGAAAATAAGAAACGGTCCCATTTATGATTTCGAAAATTTTCACTTTTTCAACGTGCTTTTTTCCATTTTTCACTTTTTACTTACGAACACGCTACTTTCACTTTTTCAATCTGGAGACCTTCCCTAACATTTTCATTAAACAAAATGGCGGGAGGTCCTCAGAAAAATAGATAATTTTTAAATCAAACGGAGCTCAAAAAGAGAGAATAAACTGAGATTTTGGAGGATTGGGTTGAACATGTTTGTACTAATAACAGTACCGCAGGTAAATTTAAGCGAGAAACGCATGTCAGAAGTTGGAAGTGCTCAAAATTCCTTTTAAGACGGAGAAAAAAGGCCCTGAATTGTAGAAATGAGAAAGACAATTTTCTCTAGCGTGTAGCCTCTGAGGTCATCTGAAGCGACGGCGAATGGTCTCAAACTTTCAACCACCAAATATCTAGTGTAACACGGCCACGAAGCGATTTCCATCTCGAGCAAACGATTCCATATTCATTTCATTTCATGTCCTTTCATCATTCCTGGATGCATTACCACCTGATTAATATTTTGTCATTGCCTCAGTTATAATCATTACACACGTAATGTATTCAAGTCAACGCAAGGAAGAATCTCCCACCTAGAAGTTAATTTGTCATCTTTCACGACAAATCACTAGATTTTTATAGGCAACTTTAGACAAAATACGCAAACGATATTTTTATGTTCCCTCACCAAGATCCTTTTTTCTATTCACCGTCAGTTTCAATTTTGATGCTTTCTTCATCTCGTTGCTCAGAAAGAAGTTTGTTCATTATACAAGATTACGGAACGCTGTTGAACCTTATCAGCTTAACTTGGCAACCACAAGAACACACAGTGGACGAGATGAAAAAACGCCTTCAATTAAGAGGTTAGGCCAAAATACTTGCTATGAACGAAGAGAATAAACTACGGTAACAGCGCGCGTTTTTAGCAACACGTCAGCTCAATGATAAGTCTCACGTGCGGTGCTGAACCACCGTTGCTTTTTACTATGACTTTCAGAGTGGTATCATAACTAGCTAGCTATAACTGCAAGATTTTCCAATCTTCTCAAGAATAATCTTTAAAGTTCCTTGGTAATAATTCAACCACTATTGATGAATATATCTTGTCTCTTGAAATAGAATCATGGTCAGGTACTTCCCGTTCAATCCACTGAAATTTTACAATTCAAATTATCCTATTTAAATAAAATTTAACTGTCCATTTTTTGTTGTTTGAGTGGGCACAATCGCACTCAAGATTATCTTTGGTCTTCCTACTTTTGTGCTTTTCTACTGTATTACTTTTCCTCTATTGGTAAATCTTAGTGAGAGATGTTCTAAAATTCGTTGGCGCTAAATGTTAGCCAATCATTTCCGCTACCAAATAGACGAATGATTCATAAATATTTTGGCACTAAAATGTCCAGAAACAGCATGCAGCATGATGCATGATGTGCAGTTCTTGGGAAGAGCCACTAAAAGTTTGGACCTGGCATTTTTGAGGCTTAAAATGATCGTTTTGTACGGATTATGTCACATCATGTTCTTTCGTGGCACAAATATGAGCTATATCGCCTGCAAATTTTTTACTTTTGAGATGCTAAAGGGCGCACAAAAAATATTGCTATAGATCTAACAATATCTCTATTTTGTCGGAGAGCCCAATCTCTTTTTCTAGACCGAGTTGAAAATATTATTCATGTTGTAACAAGTGATACGGTCCCACTAGAAATGCACCATCAATTGCCATCGAACCCGAATAAACGTTACCGCAACCAAACAGAGCCACATGCAACAATGCATATTTTTATCAGTCTCATTCTTTGAAAAAATGATAATCAAAATTTGAGCAAAAAATGTGGAGCTCTATGTTACCACGACATTTACAACATAGATTTGGGTCTTCCAGAATTCAAGATCCAAAACTACTTTATGGCATAGATGATTAATGGTTTCGAATGCCTCGGAAACTTTTATGACAAAAGCTTCATGACAAAGTTGACATTTTGACACTTATGATATTCTACCCAAAAGTCGACGATACCCAAGTAGCACTTTTCAAAGAAATAATCGCAATATTTTGAAATTAATTTGCAATGTTTTCACGATTTTTCGGCTATAAAATTGCCAGGATCATCATCATCCGAGCGATTATCCTCGATCTTGAAGCAATTTTATTTCTAAAAAATCGCGTTCAATAAAATCGAAATTTATCTCAATTCATCTCGATTTTTTGTTCAATAATATTGCGATAAATCGCCGCCGATAAAATCGCGATTTTATTACAAATTTATGCGATGAAATCATAATTTATCGCAATTATCATTCAATAATATTGCAACAGATCGACCTCGATAAAATTGCGATTTATCCTCTCATCAAATCGCAACTAATCGCGCGAGCACTGCTACTTGTAGAGGCGAATCCAGCAATTTGGTAGCACTGGATTTCCTCCAATTAACCCTATGTTAAATAATCGATTCATGTCGGAGCACCTGGCCCCTCCAATAAGAATCGACACATTTCGGTGGCTTTAAAGGGAGAAAAACAATGTTGCAATTTCCTGGATCCACCAACGGCTACTTGGGTATCCTCGCTTGTTCATAGAAAAAAATTAAATGTTGATTTAGCATTTATAATGTTAAAAAGGTGTCCGACAAGTTTCAAATGCTGATTTTACAATACAAAAATGTTAACATAACATTTTAATTTGTACGTATTGCAGTGGGCGTAGTTACGTTAACATTTGTTAAAATGTAAAATCAGCATTTGAAACTTGTCGGACATCTTTTTAACAGTATAAATGCTAAATCAACATGTAATTTCTTTCCGTGGAACTTATTATGTTTTTTAGTGACGTCACAAGTCACCTCGTGATTCTTCGAATCTGTACAATTTGATACAAGAGATATTTACATTAGGAATAAGAGAGGCCGGGGCAGGCGCATGCGCACTTGGAGATGACCGGGTACTCGATCTTGATCCAGTGGCAGTGTCTGTGCGCGGGGGTGGCGTTGCGACAGTGGAAGCGGAGGAGGGTCTTCCTGGCGCTGGTGGAGGGGCGGCAGCGCATCCCTGCAGGGATGGAGCAGCTCCCCGAGCAGAGGCCCTCCTTGAGCCAGCGCGGCCAGAAGCGGGAACCCAAGTCCCGCCACCGGTAGACGACCGGACACCCGGTCGCCGACCACAGGAACTGCTGGATCTTCTTCTTCAGCTTCGAGCTGATCTTCGTCTTCACCTTCGTCCCGTCCGGCAAGTAGACGAACCTGCAACCCAGTCGAATAATACCATCAAAGACAATGTATTTTTGAGACCTCGCTTGGACCGCCTTCAGCAGAAAGGAACCAAGCCACACACTGGAAAAAAAAAAAAAAAAACACATTGGATCTAGAGTCCAGACTCTTGAAAACATTGTCAAAAAAAAAAAAATACTCTTGATTCAATCAGATTTTTACTTGAATCAAAACGAAATCCGCTTAAATTAAGAGGCTGGCTCTTAATTTAAGCTAGATTCTGATTGAATCAAGAGTACGTTTTCTTATCGGTGTTTGTAGAGTCTGGACTCTAGATCCAATGTGTTTTTTTTCCAGTGCATCAGCTATTGCTGAATTTAATTGGGAAAAATTTTTTACATGGAGACGGATGTGCAGGTTTTTGTGCTAAATTCAGTGAATTTTCTGTATACACTGGAAAAAAACACATTGGATCTAGAGTCCAGACTCTTGAAAACATTGACAAGAAAAGAGACTCTTGATTCAATCAGATTTAAGCTTAAATCAAAAGGAAATCCGCTCAAATTAAGAGGCTTGGTTCTTGATTTAAGCTTAAATCTGATCGAATCAAGAGTATTTTTTCTTGTCGATGTTTTTAAGAGTCTGGACTCTAGATCCAATGTGTTTTTTTCCAGTGTAGTACGAAGGAAATCCTTTAAAATTTGCGAAGGATTGCGAACAAACGTTTTCATGTAAGAAATTAAATTGTCTACTTACATTTGCAATAGCTGATGTGGCTTGGTTCCTCTCTGCTAAACGCGGTTTACGTTAATAATCGAAATAATGAGAATATTGAAATAATTTTGAAATTGAATGCATAAAATTGTATTTTTTTTTACTACAAAATAGCAGTGTCAGGCAAAGATTAAAAGCAGGCATTTTTGTCAAATGCGTAGGCAATTAGTCAAATACTCTTACTCGGATTGCAATTCAGATTAATTATTTTCCCAATTTTAGACAAAATAATGTATTACTCCTGAAAGGAAAACTTTTCTGTAAAGATATACGTATCATTCAATAATATTTTAAACGATTTTTACGATATACTTATTCAGATATTTTCAGAATTTCATAAAACTCAGAATTGTTAAAATTTTAACCTTCAAATATATGAGAGGCATTTGAAGAGGGATATCCAAGAAGAGTTCGTATACTCGACTGGTTATTTCCTCTGAAATATGGAAAACTCGAGAGCTTCTCCCCATAAATTTAAAGAAAATTACAAAACTGTCAAAATTTGACTAACTCTCTGGGCATGTAAAATAAATGATTTTATTAATAATTGCCTACGACAATAATATTTCTACATCAAATGGCCAATTAATGAAAGCCGTTTTTAAACGACTATAAAATGAGTTCAATGTCGACGGTGAAACTACCAAACCATGAACCTTGTTTTGGGGATACGCACGCTGACCGTAGTCCAGCCCCACGAAGCACTCCGCGTCTTAAGCGTAACTTTTGTGAATCCATACCAGAAACGACATTGATATGAGTACTGTATTCCGTTTCTGCGATGCGCTTATTTTTCTACTTTTGCGTTAAAGTCTCTTTTGAAAACGAATGGATACATGATCGTCAGGATGCACAGTCCAGTCTCCCAGTCGTAACGATTCAGGCAGTTATTGGTAGGTACTATCGGCCAGGATCTATTCGAGGAAAATAGAAAGTCGATTTGAGTCGCGCCACTCCCTACAAGAGCTGCAAAACTGAAATTAGACGGTGCGGTGAACGAAATTCGAACAGCTATGGACTTTCTGGTAGAATCAGTTTTAGATTCAGTAACGTGGCGTGCTTTGCAATTTATTGATTAATCTACCATGTTAATCTATGGAAAAGGATCTATACACAAGGTGTTCGCAACGAACACCTTAATAATCGATTCTTCACCACAGCTTTAAATGGGGAAGTATCGATAATCGATCACTCACGTCTCGCCACTGTTGAAACTTTCATATTTTCTTCATCCCTCATTCGTCCCAATCCTTCACGTGGTTCTTGATTCATAGTGATACAGATTTGTTTAATTTTCAGGGAAATGAGAGGTGCACGCTCCCAACCGCCTCGCGTCTTGGGCGTTATGCTTTTCGCGTTACTATAATTTACGCGTGATATTATAATATAGAGAATGATTTGGACTATTTTTGCTAAACAGAACCAGAGACAAGTGTGGGAAAGAAGGGGTGTGATCATTAGTCGAGGGTCGTAAGAATGAATGAGAAGTATAAAACGCCAGTGACGTCAGCGTGGAAGAACGGGACTAGGATCCAGAGTCTTTAACTCATGAGCCCTGTGCACAACAGGGCCGGATTAAGGGGGTGGCTACATGGGCCGCGGCCCATGGCGGCAAATCTAGGGGGCGGAAAATTTTGCAATTTTTTATAATGTAGTTATAAAAAAATCGGATTTAGAAAAAAAATTACAAACGAGAAAATGCGACAAAATCTCGTATTTCCTAAGAATAAAGTAATTTCTAATTTTGTCCTCTTTCAGTGATACAAGAGACAGCACCTTTAATTAGTCTAGTTAAGAGAGAGACCAAACGCGCAATTTGGCTTGGAACGGCGCGACTGAGAGAGAAACGATGACGAGGACATGAGATGAAAAGGAGAAGCCCTCGGCTCGGCGGTCGGCATGTAACACATATTAGCGTCTACAAGACTGCACGAATACTTCACGCATTGCGTTAAACACAGTGCGGTCAGCAGCGGTCGGCGTGAAACTCAGAGCGCCTACAAAACTGTCGGAATACTTCACGCATTGCGACACGGTGTAGTCTGCGTGGCGCGGCGGCGGAAGTTAGATCATTAGACCACATTTATGTTTGTTCTTTCATAATTTTTTCGTTCATTTCTTATGAATAGAAGGCCTTGTTCACACAGAAATAGGTTTACGAAACTTAACTTTCGCGCAAAGTTTGGTACATTTTTGCTAGTAGTATTGACAGGGCTTTCCCAAAAAAATTGTCAAACACGAGTAAACGCGTCTCATGCACCCCATCCCTACTGGCACATTCACTTGATGGCTTTTATTGATGTTTCAAAACGAATGAGAAGGGGGCGGCAAAATACAGGCGGCCCATGGGCGGCAAGTAGGTAAATCCGGTCCTGGTGCACAACGCTCCCCGCCATTCCCACGGCTCATGAGTGCCGCACGAAAAAAACAACGTAGAAGTGAATTAAAATTTTGGATCAAATGGAGCCACCAGGCAGTAGTGCTGAGCCCTACAACTTAAGGGTCCAGCCTTGCAAACTGTAGTTCTCAGCACTACTGCCCTTAGGTGGCTCCATTTGATCCTAAATGTTAGAGCTCAGCGCTCGGTTATTTCTTCCGTGAGCGTGCAGGTGGCGCTTAGTTCCGTTTCGTGTTATGTAAAATCCCGCTTTTCCAATTTCCCATAAGGGAACACTGGAAAAAAACACATCGGATCTAGAGTCCAGACTCTTGAAAACATTGACAAGAGAGAGGACTCTTGATTCAATCAGATGTTTGCTTAAATCAAAAGGAAATCCGCTCAAATTAAAAGGCTTGGTTCTTGATTTAAGCTTGAATCTGATTGAATCAAGAATATTTCTCTTGTCGATGTTTTTAAGAGTCTGGACTCTAGATCCAATGTGTTTTTTTTCCAGTGAATCACGCCCAGACGCCCACTTTTACATTGTTTCTTATGCGGCTCACCGCGAGCACACCCCATCTTTCCCACTCGTCTATAGTTCCGTTCAGCAGAAATGCGTCTATTTCAGGGTGACAGACGACTGTCAGTGTGTAGAGTCCCTTTATACTGAGATTCAAGACAACACCCCTCATGGAGTCACAAACGGGAATAAAGATTACAGAAATTGAACGTTTTTCGTAATCTTTGATCGGCTCATTCTCAAACTCCTTTCTCCGTTCCTTCTCTCATTCCGTTTGTTCCTTGCCGAACCCGCAATTCCCTGGTCCATTCCAGAACATAATCTTTGCAATTGGTGAAAATGTAATGTTTATTCCCGTTTGTGACACCGTGGATGCCTAAAATACGGGAACCAATCAGAAATGGATTCACATTGTCTTGACTCTCAGTATAAAGGGACTCTAGTCTATACTTCCGTTCAGTCGAAATGCGTCTATTTCAGGATGATAGACGACTGTGAGTATGGAGGTGAAGGTGGGAGCTGACCTGAAATCCATATCGCGGATGAACTGCGGCATGGTGCCGAGCGGTATGAGGCGTCCGTGCTTGTTGCGGCGGAACCCGGGAGCGGGGGCCGGGGCAGTGGTGCGGTTCCGGCTCGGCGTGATCTCGTTGGTGTAGTCGGCGTCGTCAGGGTCCTCGGCGTCGGCGGCGGCGGCGGCGGCGTCGTAGAGGTCCTTGGGCCGGAAGATGGACATGAGGTGGGGGTCGAAGTTCTTACCGAGCTTGGCCCGGAGGAGGGTCGTGTTGAGCTCGTGCGGCCGCGGGTCGAGGGCCCGGTCGGGCGACTCCTGGAGCCCAGGGATCGGCAGCTCGTCCAGCTCCAGAAGCGAGGAGGCCCTCAGCCCGTACTCCTCCGGCGAGGGCCCCG